TTTTTCCCCTTCCCGCGTGCAGGGAAAAAGGCATCGGTTGGAATGAAGACGCTGCATTATGGGGTCACACGGGCCTTCAGTATGCATGACCATCAATTTTCTGCATGAAACCCGGTTTGTTTTTCCGGTAAATGCTCATTTATTGAAAAAGTGCAAATTTGAAGGAAGTCGGAAGAGGATGATGAAATGTGCGAAATGCACTCGCTATTGTCTGCGGGCAGAGAATTCACCTCGAAACAGAATACGACATGTGAGTATAAAATATCCTTGCAAAGTTTCAGCTTTGTAGCTTGTCAAGTAAGCGAAATAGCCACTCCTCTACAAATGTCTTTGAAATGTCTAAGTCGTGGCGCGAGTGCAAAAGGAAACCCAGTTTAGGCGTACGATTTTCCAAATGAATAACAAATATTCTGACAAAATTTCAACCACTGTTTCCTGGCTAGTTTCGAGTTAACACACTGCCAACTACGAACTTTAACGTAACCGTACGCGGTATAAGCGTGCGTAATGGCTGAAGTCGAAATCTTTGGCTCAAGCATGCACAGGCAACATCCTTGCAAAGTTCCAGCTTTCTATCTTGTCTGATTTACGAAATTGTTTCCCACCAAAAAAATCTGCATTTTTTTCGTGTGTCCAAATCCAAGCTAATTTATATTTCTTATTCAGAGCAAGCGAGCCAGAAACTTGAGATTTTAAGATTTTGTTGACAAAACAGAATTGAATTTGCTGCTTGATGCTGCATTCTAAATACAGAATAACATTACTCTGAAATGAAGCAAGACATGAATTCGAAATTTTGGCGCTGTACATGCGCAGAATTGGTTAAAAGATCATAGTAAGGACTCTTGTACCTGGCAGAATACTTATCAGTTGGTCAGTTGCAACAAATTATTATCAGAATGCATAGTTTCGTACAGTTCCTGGTTCTCAATATCGTCATTTATGTAAATGCGAAACTCCGAGTGACTGCGTTATGACAGTGATGCGTCACATCCATGCAAC